TGGTCACTGTGCCCCAGATGGCCTCTGACCACCACATCTCCCACCAGGTCCTCTCTGTTTGTGAACTGAAGGTCTAGTGGGGCCCCATCACTGGTCGGCTCATTTACCAGCTGGAGCAGGAAATTATCCTCTATACACTCTAGGTGTCGCAGTCGAGGCAGGAGGTGACATGGGTTTCAGGATACCAGCTTTTTTATTGCAACAGTGCATCTACCTTTATACAGTTCTGGGTGACACATGTACACACAGCATTGGTTTAGCACTTCATAACAACTCATGATTGGATACACAACCACATGTCTTAACACAATAGGTTAGTATTCCTAACAGGAAACCCACTCTGTGTTACAGTCCTACTGTCCCTGGTTAACCCTCTGCCAGGTGTAAGAAGTTCCATCTTCGGTATTTCAGCTTACTGAGAGCCCAGAACCAGTTGGGCTCCCCACATCTAGGAATCTCCTAGACTTCCTCTTCTCCACCGTGTGGAGTTCCCTGCAGACATCCGGCAGGTTAAAGTCACCCACAGGAACAAGGGCTGGAGATTTTGAGACATCCACCAGGTGCCTGTAGAAAAATTCATCACCCTCATCATCCTAGTCGGATGGTCTGTAAAAGACTCCCACCAGGATATCAGCCTTGTTGGCCTTCCCCCTGAGTCTGATCCACAGGCACTCAACCTTATCGTTATTGACTTCAAGTTCTACAGAGTCAAGAGACTCTCTAACATACAGAGCCACCCCTCATCTCTCCTGCCTTGCCTATTCCCCTCTGTAAAACCCCATAAGATAAAGTGGATTTTTCCCCATGAGGTAACTGCTAAGACCCCAAATTTGTTAACCCAGGTTTTCCCCTTATGTCATCCACTAAACCCCCCTATTTGTAATAAATTGTAATAAATTGTAATAATTCCAACGCCCTGATGAATATGTAAATCCTAAACCCTTTAAAAATGAATTAAAAGTCCAATAAACTGTTCCAGTTTCTTGCCTTCCCTGGGATCATCTTAGTTTCATTGACCTCCACAGATATTATTGTATGGGGGGACACAGCAGAGGAAGTTTTCAAGAAAGGAAAGAAAATCATCCAAATTCTCCTCAAAACCGGTTTTGCCATCAAGAAGAGTAAGGTCAAGGGACCTACCAGAGAAATCCAGTTCTTAGGGGTGAAATGGCAAGATGGACATCTCCAGATTCCAACAAAAGTCATTAACAAGATTGTAGCAATGGCTCCACCGACTAACAAGAAAGAGACACAAGCTTTTCTGGGTGCCATAGGCTTTTGGAGGATGCACATTCCCGAGTACAGTAAAATTGTGAGACCTCTTTACTTTGTGACTTGTAAAAAGAATAATTTTCATTGGGGTCCTGTACAGCAGCAAACTTTTAAGCAAATTAAGCAAGAGATCGCACATGCCATAGCTCTTGGGCCAGTCCAGACAGGATCAGATGTGAAAAACATACTCTATTCTGCGACCAGAGATAATGGTCCCTCTTGGAGCCTCTGGCAAAAGGTGCCTGGTGAGACCCAAGGACGACCACTCAGTTTCTGGAACCGAAACTACAGAGGTTCCGAAACCAACTACACCCCTATGGAGAAGGAAATCCTAGCAACATATGAAGGCATACAAGCAACCTCAGAGGTGATTGACACAGAAACACAGCTTCTCTTGGCACCCCAGCTGCCAGTGCTGAACTGGATGTTCAAGGGAAAGGTGCCCTCTACGCATCATGCCACTGATGCTACATGGAACAAGTGGATTGCTTTGATTACATAGCGTGTCCAAATTGGAAACTCGAATCGCCCTGGAATTTTAGAGATCATAACCTGAAGGTGGGAACTTCAGTTTGGCAGATGAGGAGGAAGAAGAACCAGTGAATCAAACTGAAGAAGCTCCACCATATAAACACTTACCAGAAGAAGAAAAGTGTTATGCCCTTTTCACTGATGGTTCTTGATGTATTGTAGGGAGGAACCAAAAGTGGAAAGCAGCTGTCTGGAGTCCGATCCAACAAGTGGCAGAAGTTGTTGAAGGAAAAGGAAAAACAAACCAATTCGCAGAACTCAAAGCCATCCAATTGGCCCTGGACATTGCCGAACAAGAAGGATGACCAAGGTTTTACCTCTACACTGACTCATGGATGATAGCCAATGCCCTATGGGGATGGCTAGACAGGTGGAAGAAGATGAACTGGAAGCATAGAGGAAAACCCATTTGGGCTGCTGATTTGTGGGAAGACATTGCTACTCAAGTTAAGAAGCTGAATGTGAGAGTCCACCATGTAGATGCCCATGTACCCAAGGGTCGAGATAGTGAGAAACATCATAATAACAGACAAGCAGACCGAGTTGCACAAGTTGAGGTGTCACAAATAGATCTAGATTGGCAGCAAAAAGAAGAATTTTTCCTAGTTCGATGGGCCCATGATGCTTCAGGTCATCAGGGCTCAGATGCCACCTATAGATGGGTACGAGACCAAGGGGTGGATTTAACCATGGACTCTATTTCCCAGGTTATCCATGACTGTAAAACCTGTGCCGCTATTAAGCAGGCAAAAAGATTGAAGCCCCTGTGATATGGTGGATACTGGGATAAGTATAAATACGGGGAGGCATGGCAAGTTGATTATATCACATTGCCACAGACCCACCAAGGTAAACGCTATGTACTTACCATGCTGGAAGCAACCACTGGATGGCTGGAGACTTATTCGGTACCCCATGCAACAGCCCAGAATACCATTCTGGGTCCTGAGAAGCAAGTCCTGTGGAGACATGGCACTCCAGAACGAATTGAGTCAGACAATGGGACCCATTTCACAAACAATTTAATTACTACTTGGGCACGGGAGCATGGTATTGAATGGGTATATCACATTCCATATCATGCACCAACCTCTGGGAAAGTTGAGCGGTGTAACAGACTGTCGAAAACCACTCTGCAGGCACTAGGTGTGGGAACTTTCAAGAATTGGGATAAACACTTAGCAAGGGCCACATGGCCCACTAGAGGCTCTGTCAATCGAGCTGGTCCTGCCCACGCAGAATCCCTCCACACTGTAGATGGAGACAAAGTTCCAGTGATTCACTTCAGAGGTATGCTAGGTAAAGCAGTTTGGGTTAACCCTGCCTTGGGCCAAGACAAACCCATCCATGGGATTGTCTTTGCTCAAGGACCAGGAAATACATGGTGGGTGATGAAGAAGGATGGAGAGATCCAGTGTGTGCCTCAAGGAAACTTAACCTTGGGGAAAAACTAATTGTGTGTTCTGAGTTGTATTTTGCAGGAGACCAGTCACCAGATGAGAAAGACCTGAACCAAGTTAATGCTGGTATCCAAGGATGAGACAGCCCGGAACAGTGAACCAGCCCTAAAACCAGAACTGTGACCGTGACCAAGGAAAGGCCAAGGATCCAAACTGAGCTGATGCTGATCTTCAATGACAAGATGACAGCTTTGAAGACAAAACAAGGACTATATACATGTATATATATATATGAGCGTGAGATATAGGCAAACATGAGATATAGGCGTTACATAAAAAATAGTATGGAATAAGGGGTGGAAAATGTAGTGGTTTGGGTTTTAGGCCCCACATTGGCCTCTTCCTGGATACCCGGTTGTAACTAAGTCTCATATCCCAGGTGTTCCATCCTGTTTTTCATGTAAGCAAGAGTATAAATAAGAAGGAGAGAGAAGGGTCTCTCTCTCTTCTGTTGAACTTGAAGACAACAAGTCCCTGCGGCCGACTCTCGCTTATCTGGGAGTGAGGCCTACTTGGCCTGTTGTTTTCCCAGTCCAGGTAGAGAAATCTGATGAAGTGGTTTTCATCTTTTTAAGGAAAGTATTTTGTTCTTTTGTTTGTTAGTTCTGTTTTGGCTGTGTATATCTGTGTATTTGGGTTTTATTTTCTGTTTTGGTTTTGGGGAGTGGGGACTCTTTGTTTATATGTATATAGTCTCTTTGTAACTGTATATAGATGTAAACATATATATATATATACTGCTTTGGTTTTGTAATTTCTGTGCTTTTGGTAGTTTTTTTCCGCCTCTTTCCCCTTGTGTTCATGGCGGGGGGAAACTACAACTGTAGGCTTAGGCATTTGGTTGGGAGCCAGGTCCAAACCATTACAACACTCATTATGTCTTCTCACAAAAGCAGCAATGATTAAATGTCTAACTTTAGTTTATACAATATTAATTTATCTGAGAACATCATGCTTTTAAAAAGTTTTTAGTTAAGAGTAAGACCAACATTCATACTATAAGAGCATGAAAATAGAAACGATCTGATTTCAGCATTTTAAGTTTAAATAATTTGTTATTTTTAAATCAAACTGTGGTGAAAATCCTTAGCTGGTTCTGATAAGATACATGTACATAAGCGTAATGAAATTGGAGAGACTGCTAATAAAATTACTTACAACTATAGTAATATTAAAATAACTAGTAGGAAACCTTAGATTCATAGAGGCATTTCTTTCTGTTTGAAGTTACAACCCCCCAAGTAGTGTTATAAACAGTATGAAAAACCAACAGAGGAGGGCTAACATTAATCCCCTACTGTCCATGATTACAGCACGGTTCCCCATTGCTGGCAATAGAATGCACCCTCATCTCTCTAATTCCTTGCATCAAGGGTTTAAAAAGTAAGGCATCATTCTGCTTCTCTGGAACAGAATTGGAAGTCAATGCATCTTGTCCCTTTTTTTTAATTTTTAATTTATGGTAGAAAATTAAATGAAAGTTTGCAGAAGTGTTCAGTGCTCTGCTCTTGCCTATACTGGTAATTACTATTATTAAAACTATGGTAATGCTTAATAACTTCCCAAAGAGCACAAAGGACCAGGGTAGTAATAGGTTAATTTTCAATTCAGTCTTCAGGTATCAGTAGCTTCTGGAACTGTCTAAAAAATGATGCTCTGAAGCTTTTTATCCAGACAATTGGTGGTTGTCTGAGGATTTCAGAAAGTCTATATGCAATGCAGTGCACAAGACAGAGGTCAGGTCTCAGTTGATGTATCAATTACTGGCTGCTTTGTTGGTGTTGCTAAAATAGCCTCTGCTTCCTCATGCATCTAAAAGAAAAAGATAGATGAAGTATTAATATCATCAGAAATTTTACTAGAAAGACATCATAAAATGGTTTCCTTTAAGAAATATCTGAAAGCATTCAGAACAAGAAATCTGCACCCAGTTGCCACATTTTGGTGCATTCGATGCATCTGAACTCTCAACTTACTTGTAAGAACTGTACATCTTGAAATAACTCCTGAATGAGCCTTCGAGATGGAAGTCGAAATGTACAATTTGCTAACAAGAAGGACACCTCAGAATAAAGGCATATGTCATCAAATGCTTGGGGATATTTCTCTTTAATTCTGATCAACAGGAAAAACAAAATTTTAAAAGTCTTGATCAGATTTCCATCATATTTTTAAAAACTGCTAAAATTAAATTTTGATTGCCATCATTAACAAAATAGAACTCTTCAGTAATAGGCATTATACATTCTGGATCTGATTAAGCAAGAAAATCAGGACAGCATTATTTTATACCAAACTGGAAGAAATCCATATTAAAGAGATAGAACATATAATTTGAATGTTGTACAAAAACTCCAAGATCACCTAGTCTTAAAATAACAGATGAAGAAAGACAATGGTATATCAAAGAATACGCATACACATGTACAGCAGTAATAAAAATATGAAAAGGTAAATTAATTACCAGAAAGCATTTTTAAAACTAAAATGAGCATTTCTGCATGTTTTTAGCAGTCATATGTCAGTTTCCACCACCACTAACCCAGAAACCTACATTTTGTATTATAATGTGTGATCCCTGGATTTATATCCCTATATTTTAATGAGTTTCTGTGATAGTTTGGACCTGGTTCCTTGCAAATGCCCGAAAGTCACGACAGCAACCCCCTTCCCCCTTCCCTTCTTCCCTTAGGGCAAAGGAAAAAAAACTATAAAAAAATTTAAAGAACCCAAAGTCAAGCTGCTTATATAAAAATATATATATTTACGTAAATTACAGTTATATACAGTTAAGATACTATATACACAGTAAAAGGGGATCCACCCCCCAAGGGATAGGGAAAGGGGAAAAAGGGGACAAAAGGGAACAAAAGGGGACACTGAACAGGTATACCCGATCAAACTCAAGAACTATACTAATAACTAACAAAACAGATCTCACCACTTCCCTTAGAAAAGCAGGATTGGCAGACACAACCAGCACTCTCCGAACTCCCACGTGGCAGGCCAGTGGTCGCTGCAGGCCTCAGCTTTAGATAAGCGAGACCAACGCAAGGACCTACAGTTCCCGAACCTCACCAGAAGAGAAGAGAGTGAGGTCTCTAATCTCCAACTTATTTATACTCTGGTTTACATAAAAATCGTATGGAATGCTGGGTACTTGGTCACTTCCTTGGTTACAAACTGGTCACCAGGAAGGCCTAGATCAAAACCATCACATATTTTTATAAGTTTCTAGAAATATTTAACTAATAAGTAACACAACTAGAAACAGAAAAGGTGGAAATGACCATAGAAATACTACTGGTTACATAGTGATCTTAAGGAGAATTAATTTCAAGGTCAACATTTAATCCCAAACCAAAACACCAAAGAAACCCTTACAGATTCAGTAACTTTAAATATGAAAAAAAATCAATATTTTCATTCAGTTTTATCACACTTACCCTCAAGGAACACTAACCTGTATCACTATATGAAGAGCTCACTTTGTTGTTAGGCTGATACCCAGTATTTGAATGCAGACACAGTAAAGGTAGTTCTCATCTGTGTGTTCCTGTAGCCCTGTATCATCTGTATTTTCTAAAATCTGAGAGGCATCTGAATGGCTGGTATTTGTTATTTCTGTGAGACTGATCTGCTGTCGAAGCATCTGAAAAGGACTCTTGACAATGTCGCTTGTACCCGATGGTAGACCTATAGATTAAGCAATTAGGCATCAGAAAAAACAAAACCACACAAACCAACAGCTAATAAATCACTATTTCAATTAAATTTCCCCTTTTAAGCCCTTTAAGGCTGTGAGGGATATGTGCATGAAGATTTAGAAACTGGTTTTGAACAACTAAGCTCCCAAGATTTATTAGCATTTGGGAAAGAAACATCACATTTTAGTATCAACTTATCATATATAACAAAACATTACAAAGGACAGAATTCAAGCTCTAAACACACATACTTTTAAGAAGATATGTGGTAAATCCTGACATTATATCGAGATTAGTAATACTGATAATGTTAATATGTTATGATTTTTCATAGTATCAAACAAGATTAGTACAAGTATACACCAGATGTATATAACATATGCACCAATGAAAACAGAAACACAATTAAAAACCCTGCAACTTAGCATCTGTAATATGATAAAACTAGATGCAAGAATGCAGAAACAAGCCTTAAGACACTTTAGTGACAGACTCTTCCCTGGGTGAAAAATACCAAGAAATACAATTTTGAACAGGCATTATTTTACACTGAAACTTAGTAAAATATAGAAACACACTTTCAGGGAACTAATCTTTATGTATTACATTAACAAGACAAAAGAAAAAAAATCAGTAAAATGTATCTATTTGGATGTTCAAAGTGCTTGTAGTAAAGTTCCATTTTACTAAGAAGCAAGACAACAGCTATCCTATATTACTTTAAGACCAGTATCAATGTTTCTTTTTCAGTTGTTCTACTGAAAAAATACATATTGATGCCCTACAGATTTTTGACTACTCTGGAGTAAAAAGAAGTGCATTGCAGAACAAGCCAGGCATTAAAGAGCACTTGCAATTTTCTTGTACCACGTTCCATCACCTTTGCTGACCAACTGTCACAGAAATATCACAGAAAAACAAAATTTACTTTCTGAAATACACATCTAACACTTTTATTGGTTTTTATAAATTCACATGTGATCAAAAATATAACAGTTTAATATATATGTGGCATACATATTTTATCTTTGCTTAAATTTTGTTACTTTTTTCAATGCAGTATCACTACTAGTCTTTAATTAACATTAACTCATATTATAATCAAAGATATGTAGATTTTCCTTCTTATTTTATTAGAACTGGATCAAGCTTTGAAGTAATACCACATTATCTTGAACTACATAAACCAGGGAATTAATAGCCTGCTATTCTGAATGCAGAACACAACTTCCAAAAATTAACCGCTAAACATAACCTTTTCTGTAAAGAAAAAGCAACAAATAAAACCCAACACCCCACCCAGTGTACACACAAATAATAGAAGGGTACAGAAGACAAACAAAACCAATACCTTCTGCATCAGGTGCAAAGACCCTAGCTCCATGGTCATCAAAGGGAGGTGTGGTTTTCTTCTGGAAATATGGAGTTTCCTTTACCTGGAATATTCAATTGAAAGTTAAAATTAGCACAAGTGATAATTATATACAAAGAAAAAATAGATACTTTTTATGAGAAAATAAAATGTTGTCTATTTTTTACTTCAGGAAAAAGATATAATTGGAAGAAGAAATTAAGAATGGGCTCCTGAGTAGCAAAGAAAAACCAAGAAAAAAACCATACATTTGTGGATGAACATTTATTAAACAAGGCTTATGAACAACCAGTAAGTGTTAAAACAATGGTGACAGGCTGCAAGGAAACCATTGACCCACAAGTGGCTATTAATGATCTGCCCACAATCACTCTACAACACTGGAGACCTCAAGAAAGTAGAGCAAAATCAACTAGGACATCTAACATGTTGCCTTTAATATGTCGTCTGTAATATATTGCAGAGTCAAGATGTGTCTCAACTCTGCAAAAAGAGTTGAGAGAAAAGAAGTGAGGCAAAATAAACATGCCATAAAGACAGTGGACAAGATAGAAATAAAATATTCATTTCAGAAAGGGAAATAGAAGTTATGATGGAAAATGTTGCCTTTGCTCTAGTTTTAGTAATTTCTTGAGATAAGTAAGAAATTAATTTAGGTTTGAAAGGCAAAGACTAAGTAAATCAAAGATAAGGAAGCCACTGATTTACCTTTGACATAGACCATGTTCTAGTTTTGATAATTAGGTAAGAGAATATTAAGCATTTTGATGCATCAGTAAGTTAAAACACATTCCCATCTAACAAAGTAGAGAGAGGAAGGCAATTGCTAAGACACTTAAGATAATCTGTTTTAACTTTAAAAATTTATCTGTGAGGTTAAACAAATAATATAATTAAATGCTGTGATGATAGATATACAAATAAAATAATATTAAATCAAGATCATGGTAACAGAAATCATGGTAGCAGGAAGTTTATTGTGCGATTACGCACATCATTTGTGATTCACCAGTGAACATATCAATTAGTTGGTTAAAGAAATATTAGCAAATGTCCACAGACTATGCTAATTTTAGTATAAAAGCTAGCAGTCAACTAAAAATCTTATGACAACATATTTATGCTACCACTGTTTAACATATTTCTAACCTAGTCTGTGTCCTTATTTGCCTAATAATACAAAACACACTAGTGATTTTCTGTAAACAGGGTTAGAAAAGTAACTCTTGTTCTCCAAAATGTGTTCCTTGGAAATACCACATCCTGTTTTCCTCATTTCTGTAGATGTAATCTATTCTGATGATAATGCAGCAGTTGACTACTTTCCAGCATGAAGCTGCAAATGAATTCGTTATCACATACATACCTGAAATATTTCATCGATATCCACTGGGAGAGCAAGGCCTATATAATCATCAGAGCTACCATAGGTAGCATTAGAAACCATGGAGCGAACAGAGGAGGAACGCTGAAGTATGTTTTGGTTAATAGGACTTAATAAATCTTCTTTATCTAACGAAGCATAACTTAAAGCTTTCATGAACCTGTAACATTGAAATAATAAATCACAATCTTGGTAAATCTCTCATTCTGGCACATTACAAGTAAGAAGGACTGCTGAGACAAAAACTATCCTCATCTTCCCATTGTAGAACCTAGAGCTTATTACTCCATCCAATTACAGCTATAGGTTCATTTTATTTTGTTCTGTTTCATGTTGCATTGCATGGTTTGGTAGTTCCTTGGATAGAAATTTGTGAGGTTTTTTTTAAAGTCCTGGGACAGGGACTTGAAAGATCACAGGATGGAACTTCTGCTTAAGGGATTACCAACCCTGTAAAAACACAAATTTTCTCCAACTTACCAGGTTTCAATGATTTACAGCCCAGACACAGTCAGTAAAGATTTAGGGTTTTAAAGTGCTAACAGACCTTGAGTCTGTTAGGTACCAGAGTGCGAACAAGGAACATTTTTTTCCTGTATTCTGAAAGAGTCACCACTCACTGGGTCACTCAAGCATGGAAGAATTTACTTCCTAATAAAAAAGACACTCCTTAGGAACAGTAAGTTTTTATTTTATTACTGCATATTAGTATACATTGGAAGGTAAGTAGAGTGAACATTTTATTTCTTGAGCTAAACTTTGTGCCCTAGAAATAATTTTCTATAATTTTTTTTGTTTAGATATGTAATTAAAACGTCTTCTCATTCTTGACAGTTTAACAGATTTATATCGAAGTAAACCTAACTTATTTCGGTCTGACTAGTAGGACATTATTATGTGATGGGAATGTGCAGAACACATATTATAGAACATCAACAGTTTTCTTACTACTAATTCTGACAAATGCTACTTACAGTAACAGTGGACTTGAAATAAAACTCAAGCTATACTTCAAAATCCAGAGTTACAAATCACATTAGTTATTTCATAATAAAGAATTCTATAATTACTCTATAAAGATATATATATTAATCCTAAACATTTGTCCCTGCTTCTCTTGGAAAAGTTAACAGCTATATCATTAGTAGTGATAAACAATGATAAGTTTTCATGAAATCATGTCTGAAGGTGATGGGGTGAGAGCCATGATAAGGATTTGAGACATGTACCTTAACATTTTTGGTTGGTCTTGAAAGACAGGTGAAAATTTAGCCTCACAAAATAATGTGTGAAAAAAACCAAGCTTTTAACCTTTTGAAAGAATGGAACAACTAGAAATATCAATGAAGTCAATTTACAGTTGCTACTTGCTATGAACACCTGAATTTGTGAATGAAGCATGAATCAAAGAAAATTTTCTGAAAACTGACAGAAGACAGACTGCCTTAGAAGACAAAAAAGCACAGAATATTTCTTTCCAATTTATTTAAACAGTAGTTAAAGACAATATTTAGTTGGAAGTAATAACATACTATGAAATTTAAAGAACCACAATTATTCAGTAGAGATAATCAGCTGTAATCAATAAGAAAAATACATATATTTGTTAAATCATAGTCTTTCCAATGAATTACATCAGTAACCAAGACAATCTGATAATCTTTTGCAATATGTACATCTGCAATTTTTTAACCTTCTCAAAGATACGCACACTCCAGCCATTTCAGTTCAAAGTTAAACAGGTCAACTCAAATCCTTGCACATAACCATAAGAGAGATCATGAACAGTTATGCATCAAGAATACTGTTAGTATTAGACTGCATGCTGAGTCTCAGGATGAAAGACCACTGTAGGAAGGCTGCTTTGCATATCAAGGGCTTGACTATAGCCACAACAGTACCTGTACTGCCACTGAAATTCCACCCATTTGTTCCTGCATTAGCACAGGAAGTCAGTGACAGAGTAAACAAGAGCACTTCTGATTTCCAGGATGGTGCAGTTTAACTACTAAGTCATCCTTAACTGAACAAAGAGAACAAAATTTATCTTATGACATCTTTGCAGATTCATGTGAAAATATAGAATAATTAATATTGCTCTTAATCAGGAAGGAAGCTAGTAGTAATAAAGAAGGACTCAACTGAGTACGTGTATTGAAATTCAGGGACTGGGCATTTGTTCTTCTGTGCAGTAAGAAAGTGACTAATGTGCTGGTAACTTCTCCCCATTCTCTCATGTAAGGATATTTAGGTAAAAACAGAGACAGAAAGGATTTTTTCCTTATTGATGGCAAGAGCACGGATTCATTACGACAACCAATATGATTAAGCAATGAATCCTTTATTAAGACACACAGTACACCTTTTATACATTTTTTGTACCCTCGCGGGTGCAGGATTAAAGTCTGGGGATTGGATAGCTCAGTCTGTCCACGAGCCCATACCTTATGTTCATTGGACAAGATGCAGGGTTGATGTTTTGCACCTGGATACCAGTTCCCACCGTAGGTTCTCACAACATGGAATAGTTGTTGATTGTAAACTAATTCTATTCTCATGGGAAGCCTGTTCAAGTTGACTATAAACTAATTCCATTCTCATGGGAAGTTAGTCTAAGTCCACAGTTGTCAATTGTAAACTAAGTTTTCTTCCCATGGGAAGCCTGAGGTTTCTTTCACAGCTGGTAATATGGGTTGTTCACCAGGTCTCCATTTTCCTGCAAATACTCCACATTTCCTTTTCACAGAATCACAGGATAGGTCAAGTTGGAAGGGGATAGTGGGTCATCTGGTCCTACCTCCCTGTTCAAGCAGGGTCATCCCAGAGCACATGGCACAGGATTGTGTCCAGATGGTTCTGGAATATCTCCGGTGAGGGAGACTGCACACCCTCTCGGGGCAATCTGTTCCAGTGCACAGTCACTGCACAGGAAAGAAGTTCTTCCTCACATTCAGGTGGAACTTTCTGTGCTTTCAAAACTTTCAATAGTCATCTGAAAATCCAATCCACTAGCTAAAAGCTGATTTGAAAGGAAAAGTTTGGAAAGCAGAAGAACTTTTAGGAGAAAATTGTTAAGCACTGACTGTAGCTGCTGGGAACAGTGTCAATGTCATGAACTAGATATATAACTATCCAATTAGTCTTCAGAGGAGTTATTATTACTCAAAAATAAAGAGGTGACACTGCAGTCTAAAAATAAACCCTATGAGTAAAATCTTTGTTCTGTTGTAGCTCAGAAGCCAATCTCACATTCATATCAGTGGTACCAGTATCTCACCATTGGCCTCAGTGCCATAATGGACAGTAATATCGTATATTGGTAGGAGCCTCTGTCCTAAAACCTCACCAAGTGACATTGAGAAAATTCTCTTCCAAAATACAGCTCTGACTGCATGAGCAATTTTGTGTGATTGTAACATTAGTAATGTTGACACTGTAATTGTATTTAAATATTTTTTAAAAAGTTAAACAGGAAACAAATGTAATAGAAGGAAACATACTCCTTTATCACTAACAGAATTAAAGGGACTGAGGACAGTTATGAAAGCTGGACTTCTCTGATAGCATTTACAAAATTCAGACTTCTCATTAGACTATTCTCTTCCTAATATTGGAACTCCTTGGCAAAGTTATGAATCATCCTGCAACAACTGTCACTTTTAGATGAAGTTGGAAAAAATTAGAAATATACTTTTCTTATTTAATTCCTTTTATAACTTTCAAGTAAGAAACAAGCATATCTTACCAACTTGGGGTCAGCTGAGAATCCAGTCTGCCAGACTTCATGGTAATAGTGTCAGTAAACAGCACATCCTTTGCTGGAGATGCCAGGGTTTCTGAGTGAGACATTGAAGGATGCATCCTCTGTTGTTGTAAGCATTTCCATGTAGTATAGCCAAAGGCATCTCGAGAACTTGTGTAGCTAAAGTTATAGTCAGCAAGACTTTTTATTGTAGCAAGAGAAGGAACCTTAAGGGACTGGACTCTTCGAGGAAGTGCATGAGAAGACCCTGGCAGTACCAGGGATATAGAGTGGGATTTTGAGAGATGCAGGTGGTTAGATTGTGATGTTGAACAGTGACTTGGTTTAACTGTTTTTGTGCTTACCACAGTACTCAAACTTCCACAGTTAGTATCTATGTTTGTAGTGTCCACACCTACGGTCTCCCTTGAAGGGCTAGAGCTCATTGAGTTTATGCCACTTGTTGTGGTATCTGTATTAAAACTTAAGCTATGACTCTTGAAATGTGTTTGCATAGTACCATGTCCTATTAGCCTTTCTGTGTTTGTGTTTTCCTGGTGAACTTCAAGACCTTTTGTCAGCTTCAGATCATTTTCTCCAACACTTGGGGTACTATCAGTATCTTCCATATGTTTACTTCCAACAAAAGAAGTTTCTAATAGTAAAGTCTGGACTTTAGGAACTCTAAAACCAGGATTGAATTCTTCCCCAGTAGGAAAGCCTATGCTACTGGGAGGTTCTGTTACAGTACGATTTTGTCTCAGACCTGATTTACTATCAGATGTCAACTTTCCTCCTTTTGGATCACTGCTACTTCTATGTTTTTTATTAGGTAGAATAAGAGAGTTAAGAATACGATTTTTCACAAGTCTACTAGAAGAAAAAAAAGGAAAGGGACTATGATCTTTGAAGGTCCAGGTCTGTCATACAATATTTGTTCTGCATCTTCGGTAATATCTAGGAAAAACATACTAGTGGAAGTACTACCAAAGCGGTCATCCTCCATGATGAACAACAGGGGAGGAGGAGTTTGGTGGACTGGGCTGTGGCTGGAAGAAGGTGGGAGGAGAGGCTCAGTGCTGCACTTGACTCCTCAGCCATTGGTTAGCTGTGGGTCCTGACTGAAATCTTCATCGAATAGGAGTTGTTGGTTTTTTTCCTTCTCCCCTGGAGGTTTTTCTTTTTTTGATTTTTTGCTTTTCCCTTTCACCGTTCCCTGAGCAAGGAGTTCCCCCAGGGAAAAGAGAGAGAGGACTGAGTGGAGCAGTTTCAACCAGTCAGAGTGGTGAGAGGTGTCTGGTCCCTTTCTCCCTCTCCCTCTCCCCTTTCCTGGTGTGTTGGGAAGGGAAGTGGGACCTAATTTTTTTTGGTTTTCTCCGACACACCCTGGAGGGCATTCGTCTTTCTTTCCCCCCGTTCCCCTCCTGTGCAGTGGTGACCAGTGATCCAACAGCGCCACCTGGTGATTGGAACAGGACACTACAAGTTCTGCATCTCCAGTAATCCAACAGCGCCACCTGGTGACTGGAACATGACACTACAAGTTCTACATCTCCAGTGATGCAACAGCACCACCTGGTGACTGTTGTAGGACATTACAAGCTATGCATCTCCAATGACCCAACGGCGTCCCCTATTGACTGTGGTTGGAATTGCACCAAAGGCCCAAAATTGAACTGTTTACTTTTCCCTTTGCCTATTTATAGGTTTGTTTTTTTTGAAGGGGA